TCCTTCTTCTCTTGCCATCGTGTGTGTATATATATTACACATGTATAGATATCTCCCTCCTCTCCATGAGCGTGCAACGCGACATTCAGTTCCAACTTCCGAGCCATTGGGCACGCGTGCGGGTCTGGGCGTTGGCCGCTCGCTCGTCCCGTTCGCTCACGGCCGTCCGCGCTTCTGGCGGCACCCACCGAGCGTCAGCGCGAGAGCGGGGGGCGGGCCTTCTGAGACAGCCTGGGGGGGGGGTCGAAGGAGGCAGAGGGCCTCTTGGAAGCTATACTTCAGTCGGGCCTGTCCCTCTACAGAGGGAAATATTAAAGAAATCGGCAAACAATAGTCTGGGGACTATTTTTGGAGCATGTCTGGAACATTTGGGAGTATTTTTTGAGTATTCGGTATTTTTTCGTTGAAAATCCCCCTGTAGGGGGACGCGCCCGCCTGAAAGCTATACGGGATTGGAGGGCGTATTCATTCGGGCAGCCGTGATTGAAAACCGCAGAAGCACCCCAGGGTGCTCAGCCGCCCGACAAGATCTGCTTACCTCAACGGCTTTCGCAACTGCGCCGGGAGCCAGACCATGCAGGGGTGGGAAGGGTGCGTGCGTGCGTGCCCTTCATCGAGTGGTAAGTGAATGGGGGCGACGGCCGAATGCGTGCTGCGGAGGGTGCGGCGGTAGAGACTGAGGTGAAGAGGAGGAAAATTAAAGGGGAGGTTACGAGGATAATGGGGGAAATATAGGGATACGGAGCGGAGGGGTGGGGAGGAGATAGGATCCGTTGGAACAGGCAGACAGGGCGGACAAATGTTGCCCCCTTTGCAAATTGGAGAGGGGAGACGGGGGAGGAACAAGTGCAGGGGTGGGAAGCCTAGTGGCGAGGGGGCGCCAGGGTGAACAAGACCAGTGAGAGAAATGCTTGAAGCTTCGCGTAACCCCACCAGCGCCGGTTTGCGGCGCGTTTAGTTGCTAATTAGGCCGCTTTCGTGACCCGTAGCGCTCCTGACTCCACCGAAAAAGTAACCCCACCAGCCCCGAGGTGCTCCTCTTACGCTGCCAAGGCCCCTTGCCGACCAGGCGTTCCCTGGATGGAAGGCGCTCCCCCCAGCACCGGGCCCAACGTCCTATCGACGGCTGCACGCCCACGTGGAAGGGGGCACGCGGCACTGCATGCCGGTTGCGATGGGTTGCTGGATCGGTGGTTGACACATGCAGACCCAACGCTGCGGAGAAGTTCGACGAGGCCGTTGAGTGACGCCGCTGCAGTGTGGTTACTGCGAATTCACAACTATTTTGGCCTGGCCTCGCCTGGTCTTCGCCGGCGACGACTCGCACCTCCTGGGCTTCGGTGTTCTCGTCGTCTGAGCTGCGGCGTTGCCCGCCACCGCCGCTCTGTCTGCATTCCTGCCCGCCGCTAGTTAGCTGCGCGTGTTCGGCTTTCTCTTAGGCCGTAATTTAGATCGTAGCGCTGTGGCTTCGCTTCTTGACGGCGCGCAGTTGCTCTGTGTCGCTCGCGAACAAAAGTACCCCCGC